CGTCCGGTACTGCCCGCTACCATCCAGTACTTTCCGGTACTACCCAGTACTGTCCGGTGCTGCCCGGTTCCATCCAGTACTGCCCGGTACCATCAGGTGCTGCCCGGTACCGCCTGGCAATGCCCGGTACCGTCCAGTAATGTTCGATACTGCCCGGTACCATCCAGTAATGTTCGATACTGCTCGGTACCGTCCAGTACTACCCGGTACCGTCCAGCATTGCCCGGTTCCGTCCAGCCTACCCGGTACCGTCCGGTAACCATCCGGTACTGCGCCGGTACCGTCAGTACATATATATATATACATATATATATAATGTATAATTTTATATATATTATATATATTTATAGATAGATAGATAGATAGATATACAGACATATATATATATATATATATATATATATATATATATATATATATATATATATATATATATAAATATATATATATATATATAAATATATATATATATATAATATATACAGATATATATATATAACATATATATATATACAGATATATATTATACAGTTATTATACATATATATACAGATACCGGGCGTACCGGGATTACCGGTAGTACCGGACGTGCCTACGACAGTACCAGGCAGTACCGGACGTTACCGGGCGGTACCAGGTAGTGCCAGGCGGTACCGGGCAGTGCCAGGCAGTACCGGGCATTGCCAGGCGGTACCGGGTAGTACCGGATGGTACGGAGGGTACCGTGCAGTACTGGACGGTACCGCAGTACCTCACGGAACCGAGCAGTACCGGACGGTAGTGGGTAGTACCGGATGATACGGGGCAGTACCAGACAGTACCAGGTAGTACAGACGGTACCAGGTAGTACCGGACGGTACCAGGTAGTACCGGACGGTACCAGGTAGTACGGACAGTACCAGGTAGTACCTGGACGATACTGGACAGTACCTGTCAGTATTGAGTAATGAAAATTTTTATAAGAGAAAAAGAGACAAATAATGCGTTTATAGCTAGCAGGCAGTAGTTTTATTAGCACCGGGCAGTGCTGAGCGGTACTGGCCAGTAATTAGTATGAAAATGATAAGAGAAAAAGAGAGAAAATATAGCATTTTTAGCTACCGGGCAGTAGATTTTTTAGCACCAGGCAGTGCTGAGCGGTACTAGGCAGTACCGCACGGTACGGGCAGCAACCGGACGGTACGGGCAGCACCGGACGGTACCGGACAGTACCGGGCAGCACTGGACGGTACCGTGCAGCACCGGAGGGTACCGGGCAGTACCGGACGGTACCCGGGGCAGCACAGAGAGGTACCGGGCAGTACCAGACGGTACCTGGCAGTACTGAGTATGAAATTTATAAGAGAAAAAGGGACAAATAATGCGTTCATAGCTACTAGGCAGTAGTTTGATTAGCACCGGGCAGTGCTGAGTGGTACTAAGCAGTACCGGGCGGTATTGGGCGGTACCAGGCAGTATTTTAGTATGACCCACACACATGCACCCATATGCGCTTATACATATGCACCACACTCGCACACAAACATGTATTTTGCTTACAGCATTTTTTAAAAGCAGTTAGAATTTTTGATACTTTACTATGATCCACCAAAGTTTGGAACAATTCTGTTGAAAACATGTTCTGATTTTTTTCTTTTTCTTTTTCCTTTCTTTTTTTTTCAAGTATCCTTTCACTACTTGACATTCTCATATCATATCACATTACAAACCAACATCAAGGAAAGATACATTAGGATCCTATTAGTAAAAAAAAATGGATTTTACTGCACTTACCTGTCATTCCTTTCAACTAGGGAAAAAATAATCTGTGTAATCAGGATGACCAAGCTTCTCCAGGAATTCTTGGTCGTGTGTAATGATAATTAATTGCAGATTTTGTTGGTTTGCCCTCTTATTACAATCCTGAAAGGGAATTACATTTGTGCTTAATAAACAAATATTAAAATAAGCTACAAAGAGGAAACCATTTATGTCTTTATGAGTAATATCTGGTTCAACAGTCATTCTCTGGTGTCTATTTCATAATTCACATTAAAATCTGTAGTGAATACCCATTCAAAAGAACAAAAAGTGAATTGCAATTTCACATGAAACACAAACAGTATCAGGATAGGTGATGCTAAGCAATTAGTCAATGTAATGGAAAAGCCCTTACACAAAAGGTAAGATTAATTCTTCATTATTAAATTGTTCTGACTCTGTACAAAAATTACTTACTCTAACAGAGCAAAGGCTAGAGCCTCAATATTTTCACGATCTAAGTTTGTGGTTGGTTCATCGAGGGCCAAGATGCCACAATTTGTACTGAATGTCTCTGCAAGTGCCATCCTAAAAGGAGATAAAAGATGTGTTTAACATTATGGTTTATAAGGATCTGACTTTTGATCAGTGTAAAATATTGGATCCATCTGCAAAGATGATTTCTAGATTCCTTTCAAACTACTGGCAATTCATCTCTTGCTAGCAGAAGTTTAAATGATAAATGTGTGAAATTTGTCAAATAAATACTTGCTACTGTCTTGAAAACAAAAGTATAACACACAATCTGATAGTTATTTGTTATAAACTCCTGATTGTTATGACTTTGAGAAAAAAAATATTCATAATACCTGATGATAAGTGAAGCTAGGACTTTTTGACCAGCAGAACAACGTCCTCGCATGTCCATATCTGTTTCCATTCTTCACCATCACAACTCTGTAATTGTACGTACGTCGCTTGTCTGCACCTGCAATGACCATGGTTATTATCAAAACAAAATGAATATGACGAGATGATAATGGAAAATGGAGGGGAATAGGGGAAAAGTAATATGAGGAGAAAGCTAAATAAAAAAAGATACAGAAGGAATGATACAAAAAAAAATGAAATGAAATGAAATGAAAGGGAAAGGAAAAGGGAAAGGAAGAGAAGGAAAATAGAAAGGGAAGGGAAGGGAAGGGAAGGGAAAAGCAAGAAAAGGAAAGGAAAAGATAGGACAAGAAAGGAAAGGAAGGAAGGTGGGGGGATAAAAAATCTGAAAGAAATTCCAAGTGAAATTCCTAATTGTTTTTAAAAATGGCATAATTTGCACAATGAGTGAACACTAACCTTGAGACTCTGCCTCATCTGTCTGATCTCAATGTAGTCAATGTCATTGCCCCTATAGGTTGAACGCCAAAGTTCTCGGATAATGCTGTTGATTGTGCGCATCTTGTCTGAGTGGAATTGCTTATGGCAGTATCTAAGACTTTGTAGTATTTGTTCAAATCATCTGCAGCTACATCAGTGCACTGAAATAGATAATAAAATTAGATAAAAAATTTAATTTCTGAATTTCTTTAACATATTTGACAATAATCTATGAGACATGTGATTTCCAATTACATCTTTTAAAACAAAGATTCCTAAGGTGATGAATGGTTTACCCAAGGGTGATAATAAGAATTAGCACAATATAATTTGTATACACACACACACACACAAACACACACACACACACACACACACACACACACACACACACACACACACACACACACACACACACACACACACACACACACACACACACACACACACATATATATATATATATATATATTATATTATATATAATATATATATATAATATTATATAATATATATATATATTATATATATAATATATATATATTATATGTATATGTATATATATATATATATATATATATATATATATATATATATATATATGTGTATATATATTATATATATATATATATATATTATATATATATAAATTTCTTTTCTCTACTTCCTTCTTTTCTTTTTCTTCTTCTTTTACATAGTTAAAAATGCTTTATCTTTAACTCTTAGAGTATGGGCAATAACTAACTACCAGCACCAAATAATGGATCTAATAGTGCATAATGGGATTGTAAGCCACATCTATTTTTATTATCATAATTTGGCATAGTAATCATACATCTTAAGAAAACACTCAAGTCTATATCTTAACAGTTATTTAAAATTAAAGCAACATATTTACACCTTGCAGGTTAGTAGATGAATACTAATAGAATTATAGTTGTGCACAAATCAAACAATTAAATTTAGGGAAACCTGAAATACTATATCTTTTCTGTATGAACTTTTGTCACACCTTCATTTCCACAAATTTCTGCTTGTAATTCTTTTCAGCATCTCGAATCTCCTTTCTTCTCAGCTCACTTTCCAGTGTCTGAATAGTTTTGTTGACCTCTTGCAAACGCCCATCCAGAATGCCTCCCTTGAAAAGAGGAAATTTGGTGATCAGAACTTCATCCGTTAATAAAATTGACAAGGCATTTAGTTATTATAACAAAGAATCTAACATTCAGTTACCTGAAATTCAGTGACCTCTGTTTTTGTGTCTCAAGTTAGGCCTTATCAGTCTCAAGAAAATACTATACATTAGGAAAGAGAAGGTAATACAACAAATCAATCATTCAGTTACTAAGTGGAAAAAATATTTTGTTTGACAAATAAACAAATATTGAGAAAAAAATGTCAATAAATACGAAACAAGGAAATATAAATAATAACATTGAAGGTGTATGTCTTACTTGATTGTCTATTCTACTAGACTTCTGCAGGAGTTCTGTTTTTTCATCAATGAGCTTGTCATAGTCAAAACCTCTTATACGTTCCTCCAAATTTCTAATCACTTTCTGCATCCGCTTGCTTCTGTCTCCTTCTCACGGATTTTTTTTTCATCATCCAGGTTACGTTTCCTTTGCTATAGAGGAAGTAGAGAGAGGAGGAAACTTCGAAAAATCACAATAGTATACACGAATAAGGATATCATAATCAATGAAAACTTCCCCCAAATCAAATATCCAGCCCTCTCACCTCCCCAGTAAGTACAGGTGGAAGATAAAATATTAAAAATAAAAATCATAATAAAATCAAGATCTAAAGCCCCAAAAATCCCTTCCAATACCTTCTGATTGGCAAGCTCCTTCTCAATGTCACGGTTTTGCTCATCAACCATCTTCTTTTGTGAATCTAGTTGTACGGCAGCCTGCTGTAGAGTAGAAACCTTCTTACGAATTTCCTTCAGCTGGTTTTCTTCCCTTCTTGAAATGTATACACTGATATTCTTGTGTAAATCGTTAGCCCTCCTGTGTGTCTCAACGATTGTGCTCACCTATTAATCAAATGGAGAAGTTAAGAGCTGTTGAAGTAGAACTTGAGATTGAGTGTAAGGAAAGATTTTCCCTTACAGGAGCCCATTTCTTAAGTTATGTAATGGCAAATATAAAATAACTTTATCAAACATGATATAAAAAAGAAAGAATACTGACAGTAAATTCCATGAGCTAGTGTTAATCAATTTTACACACTGTAAAAGTAACATAATTAATGTATAAAATAATGAAACATGTATTAATGTTGTACTGGAGATGAATGGTATAGCATTAGGGATTAATTTTCTATCAAATGAGACTACCTAGAAAAAGATAGGAATAGAAATAAATATCAATCATCTGCAGCATATTAAATAACATGCCTTATTATTTTGGGTGTCAATCCAAGAGTCTTTTTCTTCCATGAGCTTTGTCTTCTCAGAAGTTTTGGTTGTTATCTGGAACTTAAAGGGTGCTATATCCACTTGAGCCTTTTCTATGTCCTCTGTGAGCTTGTTGCGTTCCTCATCTAGTTTAGAAATGTCTTCCTTCAATTTCTCTGTTTCCTGAAGCTTGGTCCTCAGCTAGAATGACAATAACATACAAGTTTAAAAACACTGAGTGGCATCAAAAGGCTGAAAATGATTAATTGCAGAATACAAAGCACATATTCAAAATAGCAACACTAAAGTTGGTTTGCTAACCTCAAGTTCTTGGGTGGAAAGTCTCAATTTGCGGTCTTTAAGTCCTTGAAGACGATCCTTGTGTTCCTGAAGCTGTTCTTGCAATTCTTCAACTTTGGCCTGCAACTTGCGAAGCTTATCTTCCAGTTCACTCTGTCGGGTTACTGCCTCTTCCATGGTCATTCCACCATCTGTGAAAACATATCCCGTATGAAGCAACAACAATGCTAACAGTAACATAATACCAAACAGAACATAATTTTGAATAACATCTCTCAAACAGTGCTACCACATAACAGGTAGCATCACTTACATTTAGCCTACTGAACCCAAAATAAATATAATTCTTTACCAAACATTCAGATAGTTGCTAATCGTAAGGAACTCTTTCTTATCATAAATCAAAGGAGAAATTTTGGTATCATTTCTGGTAATTTTGACATTATCAAGTAAAAATTGTATTTTATATCTCACAGTGCATACTTGTTGGCTGAATGCAATGTTGTCATTACCACCTCTACTTTTTCGAACCTATCAATCTGTGCAATATTTTATGCCGTTTTTAGTACATGCTCTTTAAAAATTATTCAGTAATAACAATGCATAAGAAAAACAATCAAAAAAGAAACCAAGATAAAACAAATCAAAAATAATATCTGCAACAAATGAAAGCGAAGAGCAGCTGGCAACTGGTATTTTCTTGATCAATATGGAGTGGACTACCTATACCTGAGCTTCCTAAAGTTGCCTGGAGATCATCAATTTGAATCTTGAGCTGTTTAACCTTCCTCAGATTGTTTTCAATTATGATCACATCTGGCTGAATTTGTCTTGTCATCTCCTCATCTCCCTGTGTCATGTCCAGCATTTCTTCTGGGACTCCAGGTCTGAGTCTACTTTAGCCAACTCCTTCATCTCCTCTTCAATCTGGGCTCTAGGGAAGGTTGGTATATTAATGAAGTACCACGGTAATGTAATGATGCTGGAAGTCTTAAGGCTATATCACACTAGCACTTTTCCGTCAATTTTTGTGTTTCCATCTGAATTTGAGGTTTCCTGTGACTATCGTTTGCAAACAGAACAAACAGACACAGAAGGCTGCAACCTTTTCCATCTGACTAATTTCTGTCTACATTTTGTGCTACGGAAGAGCAATACACACAGCTGGAATATTTTTTTATTGATATATTAGATAGAATGAGTGAATGTGAACATAAGTTAATATTTTAGAACATTCGTATATGCAATATACATAATCATATTTCTTTAAAATAACGTGATGTGTACAAGGACGTTTGTGTGATATTTGGGACCTCACTCCATTTGTTTGTTTACATAGGCAATGTTATCTGCCTTGGGAGTATGATAGGGTCTGTCATTTCCATACAAAAAGTTCATTTGAAAAGCAAATCTTAATGGAAAAAATGGGTGATTAAGCAAATGAAGTCCTCTTTTCTTAAATCTTTAACATAAACTTCAATTCTGAGTACAGCAAATGTTTCCAGATAAATTAGACCAATTTTTGGCATACTTTTACCATCACTTGCATATCAAGACGTGTAATGAAAGCAATGCTAAGAACTCTACTAACCAGAACATACCTGATCTTGTCTAATTCCACCTTGGCACTGTTTGCCAAATTTCTCTGGGGTTTAAGCTGTATAATCTGGTCATGGACCTTCTCTTGT